AAACCTCGACGCAACACCAGGGGACCCTGTCCAAAGACTGGTCGGTGAAGCCCCTGGCCGAGAGACGCGAGGCCAGAGGTTCAGCTGGTGAGCGGCGTACCGAGCCGCGTAGGGCCACAGAAAATGGGGCGCGCGGGCGTGGATCATGGAGGTGCGGGCAATCTCCATGACCAGGCCTAGCCGGCGCTCAGCAACCCCATTCTGCTGTGGAGAGTCTGGAAGAGTCCAGGACTGGGTGATGCCCTGCTCAGCACAGAATCTGGCGAGAATGCCGGAGCGAAACTCACCCCCACGGTCGGAGTGGAGACAACTGACACGACGACGACGAGTACTCTCGGTGGCGAGCAGCCACCGGATCAGCGTAGAAGTCACGTCGGACTTCTTCGCCAAAGGGAACACGGTGGTGTACCGAGAGTAGTCGTCAACGACCACTAGAAAGAAGCTCTCTCGCTCAGGTCCAAGCCGGGAAGCGGGGCCCCAGACGTCTAAGTGGAGTGTCTCAAAGGGCTCGGAGGCTGGACGAAGGGAGGAGGAGTGAGGAGTGGCGCGCAGCCGACCCTGGACACAAGGACCGCACGGAGGAGCGGGGGACGGCGGGAGCGGCGGGAGGTCGCGGGGGAGGCCTAAGACAAGACGCTGACTGGACATAGCGCGGAGACGAGAGAGGGACGGGTGACCAAGGCGGTGGTGCCAGAGGAGGACAGGGTGGGACAGCGACCGACACGAGCACGACGCAGCAACTAGACCGGACACAGCAACCTGACTGGACCTGGCTACCTGGTGGGACGGGGGAACCGGACGGGTGTCGGTGTGGAGGGTGTACAGACCAGAGCCCGGCTCCTGACGAAAAGTGGCCAGAGGGGCGTACGTGTCACCGTCCACACAGACTGCAGTGTCACCAGAAGGCTCAAACCAGACCCCGACGTGCTGTCTCGCCAGAGGAGCCACACCAACCAGGTTCCTAGAGAAAGTAGGAACGTGGAGGCCGGTCAGAGAACCGGAAGGGGCAGCTGGGCACGGGAGGGTAGTGGCGTGAGTCGCAATGACCGGTCCCGAAGAGGGATCGGCCAGTGCTACAGAAACCGGCGCCGAGAGTGGAGTAAGAGTCGTGCTGTCGCGGAAGAAGCACTGCGTCGCTCCGGAGTCCAGTGTGAAGGAGAGCGACGCGTCCGCCGAGGGAGCACCTGTACTAGTAGCTAGACAGGATCCTACACCAGCACCTACTCTAGCAACAGGCAAAGATCCTACGCTAGGTACAGGCAAGTAAACAGATCCAGCAGCACTATAGTCAACATCAGCATACATCGCATAAGACCTAGCATCATCCATAGACATATCAAACACAGCAACACCACGAGCAAGGAGTGGTCCCCAACGCGGCGGCGGGGGAGCGGAGGGGCCGTGGTGCAGGACGTACAGGTCGTCGAGACGGCTGAAGCAGCGTGCAGCAGAGTGGTCAGGGCGGCCGCAGTACGTGCCCCTGCGCGGACCCGTCAGGATCCAGTACTCACAGGGACCAACGTCGCGGCCGGCCGAGCGGGGTCCCCGACTAGAAGGGGCACCACTGCGCCCAGTGCTCGGGGGGCCCGTAGGTCTCCACTGCTGCGGGGGGCCCCACTGCTGCGAAGGGCCCCACTGCTGCTGAGTGCCCCACTGCTGCTGAGTGCCCCACTGCTGGGGCTGCTGCTGAGGCGGACGCTGCTGCTGGCCCTGGCGCTGCTGCTGCTGTCCCTGCCGCTGCTGCTGTCCAGGCGGTGGCAGCTGCGGAGGAGTCTGCTGCTGCTGCTGCGGAAACCCCTCACCACCGTCTAGAGGAGAGCCGTCAGGTCCCGAGTCACCCCCGCCGCCACCCCCGCCACTAGTACTACCGCCACCGCCGCCACCCGCAACACCCCCAGAACCCCCGCCGCCCTTCCCTCCCTTCTTGCCGGACTTGCCACGTTTCTGTCCGCCAGAGACAGAAACGGCCGCCGTCTCCTCAGAGGCAGAAGACGCGGCAGTGGCAAGCGAGGCAGTGAAGGTGGGAAGCTGTGGTACCGCACACCCCTCAAAGAGACGAGGAGGAGGCGCGGAAGAGGCGGAGGCAACAGCGAGGAGGTTACTCTCGATCTTCGAGAGAGCGGTCTCAAGAAGATCGATAGTAAGCTCAGTGGGGTGCTTCAGGAGAAGCGCGTCGCGGGCTGTGGCTAGACGGTCAGGGAGGCGAGTGACTAACCAGTGAATAGTGAGCCACATGGGGGGGGGTGCAAGGGCAAGCTGTTCCTCAGTGCAAGCGGCCTTGAAGCGAGCTTCAAGGGAGCGCAGGTGGGTAGCGAGGTCAGCGACAGTCTCAAAGGAGGCGAGGTCAGGGTAGATAAAGGGGACGAGGAGGCGGCTGAGGGAGGCAGAGGAGGGAGTGGAGTAGCGAGCAACAATAGCAGTGTAAAGGTCTGCAGCAGACTCGACCTGAGTGAAGTGGACGGCCTCAGTCGGCGGGAGAAGGTCGGTCAGGGCGAGGCAGGCAGCAGCGTCACGAGACTCCCACACGTCACGAGCGAGGAACCGGCGCTGGTACTCAGCCTCCTGCTCGGAAGTAGGCGGTGGGGTAGTGGGCAGCGGTGTAGGCTGCGGCGGGGCGGGCAGAGCACCGGACGCGTGCGCAAACAGGTGCACGCCATCCTGGCGCTGGCTCCTAAGGTGGCGCTGGGCCTGCGTCAGCCAGGTACTAAAGTCGATCGCGCGCCCCTCAGGGTCGAAACGGAGCACGCGAGACGTCGCCATGAGGGGCGAGAACAAGCGATAGCGGCCGCCAGCCGCGAGAGGAGGAGGAGAGGGAGGTGAGTGCGAGGCGGGTGCGCGCAGGCGGGGCGCGTTCTGGCTGGGCGCGGGGCGGCGGGGCGCGCGCTGGCGGGGCGCGCGCTGGCGGGGCGCGCTCCGGCGCGGCGCGCTGGCTGGCGTGGCGCGCGGGCGCGGCGCGCTGGCGGGCGGCTAGGCAGGGCGCGCGCTGGCGGGCGCGGCGCGCTGGCGTGCGCGCTGACGGGGCCCGCTGGCGCGGCGCGCTGGCGTGCGTGCTGGCGGGCGCGCTGGCGGGCTCGCTGGCGGGCGCGCTGGCGAGCTCGCTGGCGGGCGCGCTGGCAGGCGAGCTGGCGGGCTCGCTGGTGCGCCCGCTGGCGGGCGCGCTGGCGGGCTGGCGTGCAAGCGGGCTGGCGCGCGGGCTGGCTGGCGCGCTGGCGCGCTGGCTGGCTGGCGGGCTAGCGCGCTGGTTGGCAGGCGCGCTGGCTGGCTGGCGCGCTGGCTGGCTGGCGCGCTGGCTGGCTGGCGCGCTGGCTGGCTGGCGCGCTGGCTGACTGGCGCGCTGGCTGGCTGGCGGGCTGGCTCGCTGGCGTGCTGGCTGGCTGGCGGGCGCGCTGGCTAAGGGCGGGGAGGGGAGGGGCGCGCCGGCTGGGGCGTGGGGTAGGGCGCTGGCGGGCTGGCGGGGCGCAGTGGTAACCCTAGTGGTAGGGACGGGCGGGCCTAGGGCTAGGAGCGCTAACCTACTGCTGATACCATGTCAGAATGAGAACTACAGCGGAATGTGTTGCATTGACAGAATTGGGGTACATAACCTAACCCTAACTAGTTGTACCCCATATAGCCCAACCCAATACAGGCTATAATATTTGACAATTTTGCACCTAATTAGTTCATGTTGTGTCAGATTTTATGTGGGATATCATTCCCCTTGACGTGGTCAATCCATCAGATGCAAACTTTGGCACGTTAACAGGCCGAAGTCAATTGTGAAAGTTGCTTGCAAAGCTATTAGATACTGTGAAGAAACAGTAGTGTGTGTAAAATATATGGTTATGTGCCTTATTGAAAAACGACCTCGTTAGTGTTCACCCTAGATTCTTCCCATGAATTTTAGTGAAGGCCTTTGTGGGAATCGGGGACTGTAGGCGCGGATTTCGCTCGGGTCACGTAGCCCCCAAACCAGACACGACTTTCGTAAATTGACCCAAACGAAATGAAGCTCGATGGACGGTAACAAACTCGCCGGAATATGAGCGCGCCTCGTCGGCCAGTTATTTCGCTAAGACACCCTCAAAGCCTGGGCTGAACCAATCCAACACGCCCTGATTTGGGTCAGCAACAGAAGCCTGACTTCGGCAATTGTGTTTCTCCAAGCTAGAAACTTGGAACGCGTTTCTTGAATAGGCAGCCAATAGAAGCTATCATTCCGTTTACTTCCCTCCCATCCCATCACAGCACAACGAACCTAGCTATGGTCGCCAGTGTGATGCTGCTGCTGCTTCCGTGCAGTGCGATTCTTGCCACAACAACTGCTGAACATCATTGGGAAGCAACAAGCCTAAAATGCCTTGCTGGACGTTACTGCATTACGTCATTGGTTCGCGAGCAATAGTCCCACCGCGATGGCGTCGGGACCCGTTGCTCGCGTTCTTAGACTCAGATCCGCTCGTCCCACACATTTCACTCGAGCCAGCCAAGCACTTTATCGCGTTCCACACATTTCAGATTATTCTCGGTTCAAGATTAACTGGACTCCGCGCGCGTTTCGTCGTGTGCTGCCATGGCGTGGCGGACGAGCCTAACAATTACTATACCACTAAAGTATCACGTTCTCCACTTTAAAATAATTCCAGTTCAAGATTAGCTTGACTCCGCACGCATCGCGTTCATGATGACGTGGCGCTGGTTGTTACGGTTAGCCCACCATCATCGCCGTAGCTCGCAGCATAAATCACAGCCGATCAAAGTCCGAAGCAAGCCTGCCATTCTTCCATCTCTGATTCTTCGATTCTCCGGGTTCTCTCCGTGCACTGCACTATTGCATCCAACTATCCTGCCGCGCTGGACTACCATTTGTCGTTCTACACACCTTACCTACCCTCCGCAGTCAGTACACCGCAGCAGCACATGAGTCAGCGTGACTCTGCACCGGAGTTAACCGCACATCACCCAGCACAAACTCTCGTCTTCTGCGTCCCGTCAGCCGCTTTTTCCGCGGGATCCCCATCATGGGGTCGATGGGTGCCTCTCCTGCGGGACTCCTGCTGCTCGCCCTTGCCCTAATTTGCGGTCAGTCCCCTTCTCTCGCGCTCCTGCCTCCCTCTGTCACCCCCGCATCACCATTGGCGACAGCCCTTCCGTTAATGCACCACTGTTTACAGTCATGCGTTTCAGCACAACCAGCACCACCACCACTTCCCAAATTTTGTTATTTTTCGCCTTTGTACTATGTTCAGGCATATTTAAATACATCATTGTCAATACACGTACATCTGAGTAGATGCTATCATCGTGTTGCTAGTAAGCATGTTCAAGCATCCTACGAACCCCTCCAGGTTTTGCGTCGCTGGTCGACGGCAGCAACAGTGTGGTTACCACCACGGTGACAATGGGACCAGGGGCCGTGCTGAAATTCACCAGCCAGCGCTGCGTGAGCGTGCCCCAAACGGCCACGCGGCCGAGTAGCGTGCAGGTGTCGTGGGGCCGTGCCTCGAGCAGCAAAGTGGACTCGGGTTCGGGAAGCAAGCCAGGAGCTATCTCGTGCTCGCAGATCAAGTTCTTTGAGAAAGCCCGCTGCCAGGGCAAGGAGGTGGACAGCATGGTTCAACCAGCCACTCCTGCGGGCGAGTGAGTGACGGGTGGTGTGTGATGGTGTGGGCTTGGGTGGTGTGACTGTGCGTGAGGCATGACTAGAGAACATGAGCGACAAATGACTTGGCATGGGGACGGGATGGGAGTGGAGGGGGAGGGGAGGGGGAGGGGATAATATCAACATTGTGTGAGCACTTGTGTGAGCAGCGTGTGATCGTTTCTCCACTTGCCACGCCCTTCATGTGCTTCCTCTTGCCACGCCCTTCAGGTTCTCATTCTCGGGGAAGTCAATTCTCACGAGTGCCCCCATGCTGTCTGTCCTCTGCACTGTCACTCTGAACTCCAGTGGTAAGCCCACTTTTGACTCCACTCAAGGCTCTCTGTCCTCTGCACTATCTTACTCTACCCTAGGCATGAGCAAATTTTCGAACGCCGGTTCGACTCGAACACGTTCGAGTCGAACCGAACAGGCCTTTTTTTTGGCCAAAAATGTTCGGGCGAACATGTTCGAGTTCGTCTCGAACATGTTCGGGTTCGCAGGCCTTTTTTTACCGCGCCGCCTCGAACTCGAACAGGTTCGAGTTCGAATTTCACTTACGCGAACATCAACGTGTTCGCGATTACAACCAGCGCGACATTGGCCGCGCTGGTTTCAGATTCAGGGTTGCGTAGATCTGAGATTGAGCACATTTCGAGATCAATCACATGCCTTTAGTTAAGACATGGTTTAGACACCTGGTTTACGCAAACATCAGCCAGAATCGAGTACATTGTAGGGTTATTAGGCATTTCCGCCCTGATGAGCTTGTGTGTGTCAAGTCCTGATGCCTGAACCCGCCTTTGTTTTTCCTGGCAAGGAAAGTGGCAAACTAAGGCAGAATATGTCATTATGGTGGGTAACTCATGGGCGAACTCGAACATGTTCGAGTTCGTCACGAACACTTAGATGTTCCCACGAACATCTAAGTGTTCGCCTCTAGATTCGAACACTCGAACACCGCTTTCCTTAAAAAATGTTCGAGCGAACCGAACGTGTTCGGTTCGACATTTCAAGGTGTTCGAGAAGGTTCGATGCAAACGTGTTCGGATTCGTGCGTTGCTCATGCCTGCTCTACCCCAGTGATAAGCGTTACTCACCCTGAATTCGAGCAGCCGTGCCTTCCAATAATGCAAGTGGGCTCGTTGGAAACTCTTGAGACGTCTCAAAAGGCGGTGCCTTCCAATAGGGCAAGTGAGCTCTTAGGGGCTATCGTCCTTAAGCCGTCTTTTAGCTTGTTGCATTGTCCTCTTGCTTCTATGATGCAGTTGCTGGCTTTAAGACATCTCAATGCCCTTTTGGTGTGTCTATAAACATTCTCGTATCTTTTCCATATCTTTCTCCTCTGCCGTTCTGGTGTGTAATAGGCATTCCCATATCTTTGCTCTTTGCCCTTTTGGTGTGTCTATAAACATGCCTCTGCCTATAACGCTCTTTTCTCCTGTGCTGCAGATCCTGCCTGCGCGGCGTTGGCGTGTGATCATCGGGATGGCACCTGTGTGGTGGAACAGAACGACAGCTTTCCTGCCTCTGTGAGTCCTCTACCTTTCTGATGCTCAACTCAACTCAACTCAGCTCAACTCTCACATTTCTAGCTCTACTGGTTGGCACCATGGCAACCAGTAGGTTAGTGTTCCTGCCAGTGGGGTGAGTGACAATGGTGTTATGCCAGTGGGGTGAGTGACCATGGTGTTCCTGCCAGTGGGGTGAGTGACCATGGTGTTCCTGCCAGTGGGGTGAGTGACCATGGTGTTATGCCAGTGGGGTGAGTGACCATGGTGTTCCTGCCAGTGGGGTGAGTGACCATGGTGTTCTGCCAGTGAGGTGAGTGACCATGGTGTTATGCCAGTGGGGTGAGTGACTATGGTGTTATGCCAGTGGGGTGAGTGACTATGGTGTTATGCCAGTGGGGTGAGTGACCATGGTCTTCTGCCAGTGGGGTGAGTGACCATGGTGTTCCTGCCAGTGGGGTGAGTGACCATGGTGTTCCTGCCAGTGGGGTGAGTGACCATGGTGTTATGCCAGTGGGGTGAGTGACCATGGTGTTCCTGCCAGTGGGGTGAGTGACCATGGTGTTCCTGCCAGTGGTGTTCCTGCCAGTGGTGTTCCTGCCAGTGGTGTTCCTGCCAGTGCTGGAGTGACCCTGGCTGTTTTGCTCTCCCGTTCTCAACTCTAATCACCCGATGGCACCCAACCATCCAAACCAACCCCATCCACACAGGTGGCATCCCGATGGCATCACTCGTGCGTGTATTTCCCGTTTAGGTGCCACATACTAGGTGTCACACAGGTGCCACACAAGATTCCACTTCATGCCTGCCTTTCTGACCTCATGTTCCCATCCCATGAGAGCATGAGAGTGGATAGTGCTTTGCCCTACTGCCAGCCTACCTCTTTTCCCTGGTGCTCCTTACTCCTCCACACACAATCACTCTCACACACTGCACTGCACTCACGGTCATCCCTTATTCATGGTTATCCCACTACTGCTTTACTTGTCCCTTGCTTCTCCCCCTTTGCTTTGCTTCCTCCTATCCTTCCATCTTCCTTACGCCTTGTAGTGCCTGCCCCTCTGGAACCTCAATCTTCAGTAGCAATTGCTCTCCCGTACCGCACTGCACCCATGCCCACCCCTCAGACTCACCCTGTGGTGACTGCCCATCGGGAGCCACCTGCAAGAGGGCACTTTCTGATCTGTTCAACGAGAAAAAACTCGTCCCTTACTGCGCTTGCCCTCAAGGCTATGGGATAACCAAGACCAAGTGTGTTAAGGGTGAGCTTGCCCCATTTTCTCCTCTCCATTCCCGTCCCGTTCTTTCTTCCATATATTACTTGCCCTCACTGCTCACCCCGCTCGCTCCTCTCCCTCGCTCACTCCACTCATGCTGCCAAGCCAAGTAGGCTGATGCGACTCATGTTTGTTGTGTGAGTTGGCAATGCGTATGAATGCATGAAGGGGTGGATGAATGTGGGAATGCATGAAGGTGCAACAAACATTGACCTGCGTCCATCCGTGTGCCACTGTTTTTTCAGGTGGCACTCCCACCGTCTCTTCAACCAGCTTCACACTCATCGCAGATACAAGGGCCTCGAGCGAAGGGTCACAGCCCTATACCTTTCGCCTCAATCTGAATAACTGCACTCAGTTCCCGGAGGCAGTGGCTGGGAAGTACGCAACAGCCTACACTGTCGACAACATCCGCGATGCTCCGAAATGCGTCCGATTCAAGAACTTCTTAACAGATAATTGTGCAGGCGATCCTGCAGACAAGGTCGACTATCCGGGTGTGCCGTTCCAAGTTAGCTACTTCGAGCGAGTGAATCATCATGTTCCAACCCCTCTGAGAGATTGGGTTTTCTGCACCTGCACACTTGCACAGCTTTTGCACTTCCTTCCTGCACCTACCAGTCACCTATTTTCCTCCACACTTGCACCGCTTTTGCACTTCCTTCATGCACCTATCACCTTTTTTCCTGCACACTTGCTCTTGAAGTCATTGTATCTGCTGTGTCCCCCCCTTGTTACCATTAACCAGGGACGACCCTGCACCTCAACCTATGTACCAGTACCGTTCAATCATGTGCTCATCAGAGTAGCATGACAAGGATGGCTGCACAGAATACGACACACTTTTGAGTCGACTCAAAAGTCAACTCTTCGGAGTAGGGATGGCAAGGATGGGTGCACAGAATATCATCGTGTCGTCTGCAGACTCTCATGGTGTCATGGCTGCACAGACTCTCATGGTGTCACCTGCACATGTTTTGATTTTTAGGCGCCTCAAAACGTACTCTCTAGAGTGGATAACAAGGATTGATGAGTAGACTATCATGGTGTCACCTGCACATGCTTCATTCAACGTGGATGGCTACTCTCTTCTCAGTGGAACGTCCGTTTCCTCCTCCACTCAACGCCTTCTCTCCTTCACTCAAAAATGTTGGAAACAATTGATTTAAGCGCCTATGTCGTGTCGAAACCCCAAGTCACAAGCGAAGCAAAACATATTGAAGCACCGGCGAGTCAACCCTCGGAGGTTGAGCAAACGGCTGGAGGTTACGCGAAAGTCAAAGGTCAGCGACCTTTGACCTGACAAGTACAGCGCGACAGCAAGGACAAACAACTGACTCGTTATTGAGCAGTTGCCCGAGTCGTCACTGTATCGAACCGCAACAGCAACAGAAAAACAGTTATTAGCTATAACCTTTTGATATTCCCTTGTACTCTTATAAAAGCTTGTATCTCTTTGTTTTAATCAATCTACTTTGCCCTCACATACTAGCGCAAGGTGGTTCAACAATCTTCATTATACGCTTCCGCTACCGTCATCACCCGGATATAAGACAGTGTTGAATAGTAGACAGGGGTTGTCTATTATACGGGTGTCTCTTATAAACAGGCTAGCCTCATTATAAGACACCTATTTGTGTGTACGGGTTAAGAAAGTGTAGGAGTTAGGGGCAAATGTATAGCGAGGGGGTATCTTCTAAACGGTTCTTTGTCCATTTATAAGACTTATAAGACACCCTAAACCATCCCGTTTACAAGATAACTTAGGCATTTTTGCCCGTGTACGAGATAAGACATATATGTCTTATATCCGGGCGATGACGGTATTACATCATTCCTACCAGGAGTTTAGTCCTGCAAAGATCCTAAGGGCTTTTTCTCAGCCCAACATGGTATGAGAGCTATCAGGACAAATTCCACTATCAAGACACCTACAACATCAGAAGGCATGGCTACCCAGAAGGAAAGGAGTTCCTCTAATGGTTCTCCCGGCACTACTCCTACTCCACCTCCTGCCTCTGGCCTACAGACAGAGGAGTGTACGGCAAAAAGGCTAGCAGCAGGGTCTACCGAGACTCCAGCGAATCAACCTGCAGGCTTCGACCCAAGCATGATGGAGAAGTTCTTCTCCTTCATGTCCTTCTACGAGCAACACCAACAGTCAGGACCTGCGCAATCGAACAACAGCAACAACAACAACGAAGTAACACCCATGAGTCTCGATGGCTCATCATACGCGCGCGGAAATCAACAGCAGCAGCCTACCTTCGCTCCGTATGAGCCACAACGCGGCTTCATCAGCTTCATGCCGCATCCGCAGCCCCCACCTGGACAAGAGAAGACACTAGACGCACTTCAAGTTCAGTCGCAGTTCGCGCACGTCTTAAAGCTACAAACATCAAAACCGTTCGACGGAAAGGACTTCTTCACCTGGTCGTTCGAATTCGAGCTGATGATGGAAGGCGCGCAGATTCTTGGCTTCTTCGACGGGTCCCTGCCATATCCAACACACGGTACACAGTACAACAAGCAGCAGTACACCTATCAGTCAATGATGGCGTACACAATCCTACTAAGGAACATCACTCCGAATCAGCAGCAAAACATACGATCTTACCGGGGATACAGCAACGCCGCCGAGCTCGCGTACAACCACCTGAAGAACCTGTATCAAGCAACAGACAGCGTCAATCAGAGTCGGTTAGGGCGCGTGTGATCTTGCCGAACCTGACCGAAAGTTCGAACTTTCATAACGGTTCGTCACGGTAGGATACAATTAGAAGAGTTTTGCCACGGTGCAACACGGTTTGAGTTCGAACTTTGTCAGGTTCGGCAAGATCACACGCGCCCTTAATGGCGCAACTAACAACAGCCAAAATGAAACCGGGCGAAAAAGGGATGTCATATATCAGTCGCTGTCGCGAGTTGCGCGACAAACTCCTTCGATGCGGAGGGTCGATATCGGAAGACGCCTTCGTCACAGTCCTCATCGGCGGTCTTGGTCCTCATTGGCGGTCCACTCGCGCCATATTCCGAGCCCACGGAAAAAATATCCGAAGCAGCACTCTATGCCGAAATTCACGCTGAGCAGCAAGACATGGACCTGCAAGAGGAAAGACAACAGAAGAAAACGTCAGTACCTGAGTTCGCTTTCCACACTCAACGGCGCTACAACTACAACTACTGATAGAACAAGAACCAAGGACAACAACCCGTACCTCCGTTTTGTCACCTCTGCAAGACTTCAGGACACCCGCGCACACACTGCCCGAATCGACAGCAGACAACACCAACGCAACGGCAGCTTCGACCTTCAAGCAATCAAGTAACATCCACGCAGGCGAACTCCACGAGTCAACTGCAGTCCTCAACAACATCGAGACACAACCTGCACAAGGAGCAAGAAACATCGTTAGCTGCATGGCAAGACTGACCGACTCCTGCATCACCGAGTCACCACCGCATTACTCACTGGAGGAACAACTCGACAACAGTGCACCTCGCTGCGAATCACTTCAACCAAACCCAACGTATGCAGCTATTGCCCAAAGCGAGCCGTCCGAAAAGGACACTTGGTTCTTGGACAGTTGCTGTGGGCAGAAGATGTGCTCCTCGGGTCGCTTCGTTCAACGGGAATACCAACTCCAACGCGAAGTCGTCATCACCGTCGCCAACAACCAGAACCTGCGCACACGACGACAAGGAGTGGTTCAACTTCAGTCACGAGAAACGAATGTTATACTGCAGATGTCGAAGGTTTTAATAGCAGAAGGACTCGGCTACAACTTACTGAGCGTCAGTCAACTGATGGCGAAGGGGATACACCTCGAAGCAGGCAGCACTACGCAAGAATTCAAGCTGTACCACGAGAGAGGAGGACTTTAAATCAGAAAGGCAGTCCTGAAGAACAACGTCTTCGTCCTCGACTTCGTTCCAGATCTCGGCACCGCCGACAGCGACGGAATTGTAACCTTCACCTCCTGGACCCACCCTCCAGATCTTGACCCAGACTTCAGCCCCGGCGGCTTCTGGCATTCCCACACGATACCTGAGGCAGAGCGAACAAGGGCGTTAGCAGCAGAGACAACATCGGCAGCAGCAGAGATAACATCGGCAGCAGCAGAGACAACGTCGGCAGCAGCAGAGACAACATCGGCAGTAGCAGAGACAACATCGGCAGCAGCAGAAACAGCATCGGCAACAAGAGAGACAACATTGGGAGCAACAGAGACAACATCGGCAGCAGCAGAGACAACGACAGCAGCAGTAGCAACGTCAACACCAATCGCTGGCCCTTCAACACCATTGGTCTTCATCGACGATTCGCCACCAACACTCGCGCAACAGCTGACTCCGACTCAACGTGAAGTCCATCGAAGCCCCAACTTCACCGCCGGCTTCTACTCCAACTCCGACATGTACCAACGCTCACCCGGACATCGCGCCACCGAAGGAACCTGGCATGCAAGGATGGGACTCCCAAGCAACACAGCATTAAATAACACGATAAGGGCAGGCGTGCTCGACAAAGACCCTCTACTTCTAACCGACGGCAGAGAACTCCAACGAGTCAGAGGAACATGCTTCACCTGCCCCGAAGCTGACTTACCGCATCAACCGTTCGTCTCTCACCACAACGCCAATGCTCCAACTTACGCACCTCTGGAGAAAGTATACAGCGACATCTTATACAATCGCGAACCTGGACAAGGAGCATACAGCTACACCATCACGTTCATCGACGCCGCCACTCGCTACATCTGGCATCTCAACCTCCCAAGTCGCGACATGGCCTTCGAAGCCTTCGTCGCCTGGCTCCTAGTGGCAGAACGGGAATCAGGAGTCAAGCTAAAAAGTTTCCAGTCAGACGGGGGAGGAGAATACACCTCATAGAGATTCAAGCAGTTCTTGGCAGAAATAGGAATCAAGCGTCTCATCTATCTTCCCTACGCCCACCAACAGCAAGGCGTAGCAGAAAGGATGAACAGGACTCTCCAGAACACCATGCGCAAGCTGCTACGTGGCATGCGGCTACCCAACCACCAGTGGCCCGAAGCAATGGACCATGCTGTGATGCTGCACAACTTGCTCTCGTCATCATCGCTCCCGAACAACGCATCACCGCACCTGCTGTGGACAGGAAAATTGGGCAGCACAAAAATGTTACGAGTTTTTGGCTGCATGGTACAGTACCGACCCCCAGCTGCACGAGCCGGCCGATTCTCCCAACGCGCACAGTGGGGACTACACCTGGGCATTGAGAAACATAACAACGCGTGGGAAAATCTTCGACATCAACACGAAGGAAACAGTGGCAGCACGTGATGTCATCTTCTACGAAGGACTCACCCTCCCATACTACCTTGCCAATTTGCAAGAAGGAAATCCCGACCTCACCGATGGCTTTCTTAGCAACCGAGCCTTCGCCTCGGCAGAAGACGAAGCTGACTGGGACGAGCAGAACGTGGAAGGAGCCTCGGAAGCAGCCGGACCTCTCCCCTACTGCTCAGTCGACGTTCCGATGGACGACGAAAATCCTCGTGAAAGAATCAACGCCGAAGCCTACTACCACTTCGCCGACAACGGTTACGTTACACCTGCACAAGTCAACACCGACGAAGCAGAACGCATAGGACCAAATTTCAATCCTACACCAGAAACGGGAGACGAAGCAGTCTATCCCGAGGATACAACACTCCCCCGCTACACACAGAGTGGACTCCAAATACTCGGTCTCGTCACCGCGGTTCACGGCACGGCGATTCCTAAGGAGCCTGCCACAGTTCAGCAGGCTCTGGGGGGGGAGCATAGGGA